GGGCAAACACTGGGGCCGAAGCCTTTATTGAAAGAGTGAGGGGAACAGAGTGAGGGCAGTTTGGTTTTGACACTGAACTTAACCTTCCTCTCACCAGAGGCCCCCTGAACGTGGGGGGAAAACAAACATTCCTTGAACACACGGGCTGGGCAGTCTCGACAGGCGGCAAGCTGACCCATCCGCGGGACTCCCGGGGTCTTTTGGACGGGGGTCCTAGAAGGAGAGAGGAGTCCAAGGGGCTCGCGGCCCGTGAACGTGGACTGGAAGTCCCCATCGGCTGAACGTCAGGCATGCCGCTTGCGTTTCGTGTGGTCGGTGGGGTTGGAATTAGCAGGTCTCCCAGCCGCAGCCGCGGCGGGAGCGGGCTTAACCCAGTGTTTGTTAGAGGGCGCTGGGTTATGATGTCGTGAAGGCGGTTTGTTTCGGGACTTTTCCTTGCCCTGGGGAAACTGACGTCCCGTGACCGGTGGGTTAGGCGAACGCACAGGGGGATTCTGGCGTGGGCCTGACTTCCTCGGAAGGCAAAGTTTGAAAGCCTCATCCTCCTTCTTCTTGTTGTCGCACTGTTGTTGCATTAGTGCGACGGCGGGGCCGAAGAGAGCCCGGCCGGGCTCCACCGGCGCGCCCGCGATGCGCCGCTTCTCGCTGTCCGGGAGTCCCGACAGGTTCAGCCAGAGCGCGCGCTCTCCCACCACGGAGAGCGCCATGGAGCGCCAGTAGCGGTTCTAGGCACGGGCGAACCGGGCAGTCGCCCGGGGCGGCATTTCTTCATGTCACATGGGGGGCGGCACAAGCAGTTAAAAAAATACTCTGTGCCGCGAAGTTTTTCTATTTTTTATTTCGATTCAATTATTGGCAATGGCGCCCTGCTTGCTGAGAAGGTGCCGTGCGCAGAAGCGATGTCAAGGGGATCTCCTCATTAGTTCACGTATCGCGTCTTTTGCGCGCTCGAGGTCGTTATTTCAAATCCTCTATGTTTCAAATAGGCGCACGGGAAGCGCGCTCATTATGCGCTCACGGGAAGCGCACTCATAAACTTTTCAGTATGGGAGTGCACGTGCACCCAAACACTTGGGTGTTTTTTCTCTTCTCCGTAAATAAATCTTTTAGCAGAGCTACAGCAAGCGTTTTTCTGTGGTGGAAATACATTAGCTACTAAAACTCCTTGTGTAGAGCGCAGTGTAATGAGTGCATGGTTCTATAGCAACGACAGCCATGGGAAAATAAAAGATAAGCTACTGTGCATTATAAATGTTAGGGTAGAAATGTCAGGAATGTATCTTTATTGACTCATTCTTTTTATAGAGATGATTTAAATGCTGAAATATGAGGTTTATCTTTATATAAAACCCTTTTTTGTGTGTTAACCTTTTTTAAGTTTAGTAGGTAAATGAAAGAGACTCCTTTAAAACAAATCTTTAATGTTATTAACTTGGTGAATTGATTTCACTATGTATTAGGCTTTTTAAACAAGAATCTGTGTATGTGATATACCATATTATCTAATACTTTTCATAATGATAAACTAAAATCAACTATGAGTTGACTATCAATTATGAGTTTTTACAGTAGCCTATAATATGCAAAGTTTTTTTTTTTGCTCGAAGGGGGTCTCGCCCTGGGTGTAATTCAAAGTAGAACCGCCACTGTGGAGCGCCCGCACGCTTGGACAGCCTGACGGGCATTACGGAGGACGAGGTCGTTCACCGTGAGGATCTCCTTCCAAAGGATTTCGGAAGGATTACCTTTTTCTGGCTGTTGCCCTAATTCTTCGAGGATCTCCGCCTGGTAGGCGGAGAGGAGCGAAGAAACGTTAAGGGCCCTGACAGGCGCAGACGAGGATTTATACGCTGCCTGGTGAACGGACGCAGCGAAACGGTCCATTTTGTTGGGCAGGACTGGCTTAGGGGGGGCGAGCAGCCCACCCTGAGCGGGGTTAAGGTGCCTGGCGATAGAAGGCTCGACGGCGGGGGGGTCGCCCATACCGTGAGCTGCCATGTCCTTAACTTCGAGTCCCGTGAGACCGTGTCTGAAGTCGAGCGGATCGCTCCAATAGTTCCTCATGTGCTTAGCGCACGCCGGGAGGATGGGGAAGAGTTGTTTCCTCGGGCCGGGAGGGGGTCCCAACACTTTCCCATCATAAATATCCCTCTCCTGGTCGGTGGCGCTCTGAGGTGCTGGCCATTCGATGTTAAGACTAGCGGCCGCTCGTTCACACACCTCCAGGAGGATGGCTTGAGGAAGAGCCGCGTGAGCGGTAATCTGGGGAACGACAGAGGGCGGGAAGGCCTCCTCGTCCTCTGAAACCCCAAGAATGGCCGCATCCTCCTCTTCGCCAGAACCGGCCGGTTCGTGGGCGAGAGCGAGGTTATCCCCGAAGATGTCCTCCTCGGGGAAGGCGGGATTGGGCTGGTCAGCCCAGACGAGCGACGAAGCGTCCCGAGAGGCCCTCGGTGGCGCGTCGTCATCACCGTGTCCCCCGTCCGAGTCTGAGCCCGTGGGGCTGAGCTCGGAGCACTGTGTCACTGCTACCTTGAATCAAAGTTTAAGCAGTTTCCTCAGCAGCAAGAGGCAGAAACTGCAGTTATCTGGGTTCTCAAGGGCTTCCCGAGCGTGCTTAGGACCCAAACAGACAACGCAAAGCTGGTGGAGGTCTTTAGCTGCGATAAGGGCTCCACACGCGGCCGGGCAGGCCCGTGAAAAGCTATCCCCAGATGATGCCGTAGGCTTAGACAGAGACATACCAGCGAGGGAGAAATCCGTGGCGAGCAGCCGTGATGTAGAACGGTGAGAAATAGCGAGAGCGTGGGCGGCTCCGAATGCACAACAGCAGTTGAATTTAATCTGTCACGTCCGGTGGAGGCTGATCAGGCCTATATGTCCTCCTGTAGACACGAGGTGAGCAGAGTAAAAACTAACCGAGCTGAGATTTGCAGAGATCGCGAGAAGCGAATGACAACTGAGGAATAGCAGCGCGCCCAGATGTTATATGCCCGTGGGTGAGGGGTGTGGCCTCATTGGGCATTGGCCGCGTGCTTCTGTCTGTCTAGCCAGACTTGGTGCAATTGGATGCTTCTGCAGAGGTCAGGTACGGATGCCCTTCCCATAGGTGGATCTCGAACACGAGATGATGAAAGAGAACTTAAGAGTCTCCATAAACTACAGCCTTTGAGCTACTAAGTACAGAGTGGTGTAATTTTGTAATTTTACACCAGGCTGCTTTGCACACAAGGGTGAGTAAAACACAGGATTTGCACACAAGTTGATGGAGATGGATCGATACCAACCAAGATTCATTATCTAATGTCATGTTTATTTTGTGATGTTTGCAAATTACCTTTCTGAATGTGAACGAGCCTATGATTAAATAGGGAAATAAAGCAAAATAACTGAGAAAAAAATTAGAAATAGTCCTCAAATGCCATGTCTGTAATTTATAGCAAGTAGTAGTCCCAATGCTTTAAATCACTTCTCTTGTAATAAACTCTTCTTGAAAAGCTTATAGGGCAGACAGAGGAGTTGAGGACAATTGTGCAATCTTTTATGCACTTAGAAGGGACTCATACTAGTCTGATGTTTGACACATGCAACCTCACATTTTAGCCATGAGACTGAGACTGAGCATTTTAAGTTGAGCCAAAATTTGGTGGGATGGACATAGGATTTTTTGACAAACAAAACAGACGGTGAAAGTAAATGGCATTTTATCAGATTTATTATATTCATCCTCTGGCTCACCGAAGTGCTGTTTTCTCTCACCCTTACTTTATGTTCTATACCCTTATATGTGCCAAAGCACGTACACAAATAGGACTATATTGAAATTTACAGATGATACTGTAATTGTCTGAGTAAAAGATTCTGCTACACGACAATGAGTCTGTCTGGTCATGGCCCTATTATTGAGAAGTTTGTCACCTGGTGTGATGAGTCTTTTAAACACACAAAGGACACGAAATATAGATTTTAGAACTCATTTAACTTTTTATCGAATCAGTCTTGTCATGAATTCACTTGTGTCATGGTTTGGTCATTTACGTTTTAAATAAATATTCTTTTTCACCAATTTTTCAAGTGGGCTAATAAGATTATAGGTGAACCCCAACCTAGCCTAGCAGGTCTAACCAGCTGCAGTATAAGGCAGATTTTATTTTTAGAGGTTGTTCCCACCCTATATGCTGAGTTTCAGCTCCTACACTCTGGTTGTCACTTTGTGGCCCCTAGGTGGATAACTAGACAATATAGGAATAATTTTGTACTTGCAGCAATAGAATTATTAAATAAAAATAGCAAAACAATCATTGCTATGCATGACACTTTATGCTATTTAGGGGGTGGGTGAGTGAGTGTGTAGAGGCACACTGTCATAACCATTTTATTAAGACTTTTTTTTTTTTATAATTTTGGACATTTTTACAATGATTTATGCTTTAGGGATAAAAAAAAAATATTGATTGCTCAATAGGCTTTATGCGGAGCGTCACGTGACCAAACCGGAAAACAGGTCTCATCGCATCCGCTTGTCATAGAAAGTGTTAACGGCCGTAAGAACTGACTACGATATCTATGGATTTTTAAGGTAATCAGCTAACCTAACTAGTTCACTCTGTTATTTAAATATCTAAACGTTACTGTGAAGACGGAAAAATATGAAACGTTTAAATATCAATCTGCATATGTGAGGGACATTGGTTATGCTAATCTCTGCTCACTCCTTTTAAGTTATCTTGAGTAAAACCGCAAAAAATTTCATGAAGCACATACAAAAGACCTGGACCGGAAGCGTAAGACCTGTTCAAACAGAATGTGGAAGTAAGTTGTGCATAGAGCCTATTTCTGTCTGCACAACAAATTTCACCAAAGGTACTAAAAAAGAGACCTTGACTTTGATTATACTGAATGGATGAACAGATTACTCAACTCAGATATTACCTCAGCTATATTACTTATTTACCACAATTAATGAACAATCTTTCCCTTTGTTCTACATCACGACTTACCAAAGTGTCTCCAATTTACACTTCGCAGTCTCCAGTCTAGTGTAGAGCAGCTCCACTCCTGAATCCTGCAGATTATTATTGTTCATGTTCAACTCTTTCAGACTGGAATCTGATTTAAGAACTGCAGCCAGAGCCGAACAGCTTTTGTGTGTCAAGTTACAGTCATTTAGCCTACAAAGAAATTACAGATTACAGAGTTTTCTACATAATGATATAGTAAAATTATAATAAATAGTCAAATTAGACTTTATTTCCACTGTATTCATTAGAGACAACATATAGATTAAAAACTACTGATATAAATTAACTATACAGATGGAATACATTCATATATACAAGTGAGAATTAATGCAGATAAAAACAAAAAGTAAAAGACTTACAGAGCTCTTTTGGAGGATTTGATGACCGCTGATAGTCTCTTGAGACACTCGTCTGATTTCTTGAATTTCTCAAGCTCAAAGTCTTCCAGCTCTTCCTCTGATGTCAACAACACAAAAGCCACAGCAGACCACTGGGCAGGTGAAAGGTCAGCAGATGAGAGACTTCCTTCTCTAAGTTGTGTTTGAATGTCTTTAACCAGAGTTTGGTCGTTCAGTTCATTCAGACAGTAGAACAGATTAATGGACCTTTCTGGAGATAAATTTTCTCCTAACTTTTTCTTGATGTACTGAACTATGTCCTTGTTGCTCTGGTCATTTCTGTCTTGCTGTGTCAACAGACCTCGTACGAGTGGATAATTAGACTCAAGTGAAAGACCAAGAAGGAATCGAAGGAAAAGATCCAGATGTCCAGTGTCACTTGCGAGCGCTTTGTCAACTGCAGCTTTCAGCAAATCAATCATGGTTTCATTTCGGTTTTCCTGTTCTGTAGACTCTTGATTAAACACACTTTTCTTGCTGTCGTCTAGAAACAGATGTGCATAAAGGGCTGCAATAAACTCTTGAATGCTCATGTGAACAAAGCAGTACATGGTACCAATAATGATTCCCGTTTCCTCCTTAAAGATCTGTGTACACATGCCTGAGTAATCTGATGCTTTAGAGGCATCAATACCACAGTCCTTCAGGTCTGTCTCATAGAAGATCAGGTTGTTTTTTTCCAGCTGATGAAATGCCAGTTTTCCCAGTGAAAGTATGGCATCTTTATCCCAGGAAACATCTGGTCTGTATTCTCCTTTATACTTTCGGCGGCTCTGATGGATCTGAAAGCGGAGAAAGTGTGTGTACATTTGTGTCAGAGTCTTGGGAATGTCTTCGGTATTTGATTTCTGCAGTGTCATAGAGCCGTCCTCAGTCTGATTTTTTAGATTATTATTTTGTTTCTCCTGCAGAATGTTCTGGAGAACAGTGGCTGAAATCCAGCAGAAGACTGGGATGTGGCACATGATGAAGAGACTCTTTGATTTTTTAACGTGATCAATGATTCTGTTGGCTATTTCCTCATCAGTGAATCTTTTTCTGAAGTACTCTTGCTTTTGTTCATCATTGAACCCTCTGACCTCTGTCACGCGGTCGATACAGTAAGGAGGAATCTTACTGGCAGCTGCTGGTCTGCTGGTGATCCAGACGAGAGCAGAAGGAAGCAGATTCCCCCTGATGAGGTTCGTTAGGAGAACATCCAGAGAGGCTGGTGACGATATATCATGCCACGTCTCATTGTCCTTAAAGTTTAAAGGAAGGCGACATTCATCCAATCCATCAAGAATGAACAGGACATTAAATTTATCATCTCTTGTAAGGTTCAGTCCTTTTATCTCTGGGAAAAACTGACTAACAAGGTTCATCAAGCTTGGTTTTTCCTTCTCCTTTAAGTTCATCTCTCTGAATGGAAGAGGAAATATGAAGCTGATATCTTGATTTTCTTTTCCTTCGGCCCAATCCAGAATAAACTTTTGCACCGAGACTGATTTACCGATGCCAGCAACTCCTTTTGTCAGTACAGTTCTGATCTTCTTGCCCTCTTCAGGTGATTCAAACAAATTTGTGCATTCAATCGGTATCTCTTGTGATTCAGCACGCTTGGAAATCTCAATCTGTCTGACCTCATGTTCAGAATTGACCTGTTCACTGCCACCCTGAGTGATGTAGAGATCTGTGTAGATGCTATTCAGAAGTGTGGAGTCACCTTGGTTTGCAATTCCTTCAGACACACATTGATACTTCTTCTTCAGGTTCGATTTAAGTTGTCGTTGATGAATAAGGACAAGCTCATCTAAACACAAACAGAAATAAAAATACTTGATCCCACTTTTCTCTCCTGACTTTAAGTGAAAACATGACAGATGGTCATGAGCCTCTTACCTTTTAGAGTATCTGCAAGTTCATCTTGCTTCATACTTTTTAGGAAGTGCAGTGTGATATCAAGAGCTGCTTCTTTGATGCTACACATCTCGTCTATATAGTCCTGCACAAAGTATTCGGTGTTCTCCTTTTTTAGTATTTTCTTAAACTTTTCCAGCTCATTCTTTAGGAATACAATTATTTTGTTCTCAAGGTCCTAAAAGCATAAAAACAAAGATGGGTACAACAACAAAATGTAACCAAATTCACATCCATTTATGAAACATATGGTTAAACAAATTATAGACCTCAGATGTAAAAGCACTAAAGGGCATATTGCAGGTTAGAGTACCCAGTGAGCCAGTGTATAGAAAAATAATGTAGGAACTAGATTTAAATATAAACATATACTTATAAAATGTTATTTAGGCTTCTGGAGTAATTTTTGTGAGAAAATTTTACTTACACATTTGAAAACTGCCAAACCAGAAGTGACGTAACAGGAGGGAGAACGGTCAAAGTAACAATAGGAAAGCAATGGATGACACCTTGGACGCTAAGGAAATCGTAGCCTGAATGTTTACTCGTATGACGGACCTCAGCCATATAATTATGAGTCTGATATGAAGTCAAGAGAGCAGGGACAGGCCAGGATTAGTCAGAACGAAGGTCAGAGACTAATTGAGTTGTGGTATGAGAAGAACAGGGCAGGGGTCTCGATGAGAGAACTGGGTTAGCTTCAGACTCTATAGCTTATAGATATAGCCACGTTAGCCGAGATAGCCTATGTATATGTCAGATGGTAGGTTGGAACATAGAAGGAAGCAAGACCCAAATGCAGCAGTAGTACTTTTATTAAATAAACTAAAGACTAGACAGACTCAAAAACTCATAGAGAACACAACCAACATCTAACAACAACATCATGAACCCACAAAGACACAGGGTTTAAATACAGAGACTAACAAGCTAAACAAGATAACAATAGGGTGTGGTCAATCAGGAACACCTGGGGATACCAGAAAAACTACAAAAGGACTACAAAACATGACACAGAACAGGAAGTAACCAAAGTTCACACGAGACAAGGGAAACACAGAGAGGAATCCCTACAGTATAAGACTATGCTCAGATCACAATATTGTACAGATTATTATGATGTATCAGGTAATAGCAAAGCTAGTATTTAGACCCTTAAGACAGTTCCCAGAGGAAGAGGGACTAAATAAAGGCATTGAACGTCTCCATTTTGGTGACAATGAATAATAAAATAATCACAATCACAACTGTCTTACTGTATGAAAACTTACTATATGTTCTTGTTTGGAAACCTGTGGATATTATATGTGGATATAATAATTTACCACAACGATGATTAATTGAAATACATAAAACACACAAAATCATGACCACACCGAATACCAACCTACTCTGCACTGAGCAAATGCAGAGCCCGGCAAACGACTCCCTTTGGTGACGTAATATGATGCAATGGTGAAAAGAAAAGTATATTTTTCAACACAGTCAAGGAAACTGTCAAGATTGACTAAATTTGTGCCGGAATGTCTTGCAAAATAATTAAAAATCCTGAAACCTGCAATTTGCCCTTTAACGAAGCCCAATTTGCCCTTTGATGATCATGTGAAACTACAAATAGCATATAAAATTAAAATTAAACCTACAGAACATCAGTTAGCTTGATCAAACTATTTATTAAATTATTTTAGGTAAAATTATTGAAAGTACCTAGTTAAATGACAAACAAGTGTTTGTTAGGCAATTTAACTGGCGCATTTGCTGCTGCTAGATTATGCTTTTAACTTCTTAGACAAAGGGTAAATGTAACACATACCAGAATTAAGGTAGGCAAAATTAACATTACAGACTGTCAATATGACTGTGCTCAACATGACAATATGAATCTAGCATTGGTTACATGTGGATGTGTACACAACTAAAATGCTTGGGGAAATGCTAAATGCATTAATTAGTTGTTCTTTTTTAAATATACACTATTTTATATTTTTAAAAAAAAAACAGTTGTTGATTACAATATGAATGTGAACAATAAATACAAAACAATCTTTTCCATACCTGAAAGACCCAGATGAGATTCTCTCTGAAATTCTTGAAGCGGTAACTCAGAAATTCTGTTTTTTTCTCATACTGAATCCTGTTAGCAAAATGAATGTGGTCATTGTTTATAACATATCTAATAAATACAGCATGTGCAATTTTAGACAAAACTACAACTGGAAGCAGCATTTTTTTGTAAACAAATGTACTGTATTTTGATAAGAAGCTTCAAAAGCTAAATACTTGAACTTGTGTTCATTTATTTGTCAAATGTGGAATGGGTAAAAGATGATAAGCCAATCAGGCACATTAGCAGCTAGCTGGCTAACAGTTGGTTGAAACATGCAGGCAATGGAAGTAGTCTGTTTTTTTTCCATTGAGAGTGATCATGTGCTTGGACGACTTGGCATGAGACTCTATTGCCATTCCCGTTGTAACTAGCTGAATCATTTTTTTGCCTATGGCGTAAAAAGCCTCAAAAACATTGTTGTCCACTGGTTTGAACCAATGACGAAAAGAGTTTTTACCAGCTACGCTTCATTAAATTTACTGAAGGGGATGGATTGGAATCCACCGCTGCTTGTAATGATGAGTAATTATAATCAAGGTATTAATCAATATTTTTCCTTCTAAATATCAAATGAGCTGAATGACTTCTCTAGGCTTGTCAGATTTGACTTTGTTATAGAAGTTAACAGTGTGATTACTGAAATGTTCTTTTCATGTACTCTTTAATGTCTGTATTTGATATCTGAATGTAGTAACAGTGCTTGCACATTTAGCCCGGCTTCCAAAAATGAAATAGGGGCTTGTTTTTTGTTTGGGAAAGGTCTCCAAAGTGTTAAAACATAAACGGGTCATTGAAGCCAATAGTGTCACAGTGTCTGGACCCCTGAGTGTCGACTAGAGGTCTTTTTCCCCATACTGTCACCATTCACTCTGGAACTGCATTTCCCAAGATCCTTTGTCTTTTCTCATTACTCATTATTGCACACAGCTGTTTCTTATTACATTGTTTAGTTCTTCTGTGTATAAGTCCTTTATAAGTCTGTTTTAGTCCTTGTCACGGAGTCGTCACATATTGTCACTACACTTCTGAGGTCTGTCTTTCTAGTCTGTTTCTTGTTGTTTTGTATTTTGAATTTTTTATATGGACTTTGACTCTTGCCTGGATGACTACAATTTGAATTATACTTAATAAAACCTACTGTACTTGGATCTACTGTTTCCCGTGTGTGTAACGTGACAAATAGTTTAAGGGACCCTTTCTTTGTTAAAGCCTTACTTTCCAGTTAGACAAAAATAGCTATCCTTGAGAGAAAGAAGGCATTATCTTGATGTTTTGAGACGACTCTCCTGTTTATAGTTAGAGCCTTTCCAAATCCAATCTTGGAAAAGCAGTGTGTCGGTGTCTGTGCTAGTTTTCTTGGTTGCAGGTTAAGGTTATGTTTACACGGAAATGATTCTGAAGAGAAAACGCAAAAGTGGCGTTATCACTTTTTATTCTGCGTTTAGAAGAGCGTTTTGGGTGGGAAATCCGCATCCATATGGTGACACAAAAGTGTGTGATATTCAATGTAGTATGCACTCCAGGCACATAGGTGGCAATGTGGAGCACTGCCACACAAAAACACCAAGTCCACGCGCCTGCGTACAACCTTCACTGTCAAGCAGACTTTTGTGTTTTTACCCTTTAGACGGGAACGCGGCGGTGGAGCATTTTTAAGATTTCCACTCTGGAGGGTGGTTTCACTTTTTTGCGTTTTCGTGTAAACAGGGCCTCAGGAACTACTGCCATTATTGGAGATTGACTGAGTTGTTGTTTTGGACATGCTGGCACCCAGCAACCCAAATCTGCGACCTGGAAGGTCATGACGAACCTCTGAGTCTCAGCTGCATAATCAATGGAGATATGCTTCCGTCTATGTGTGGAAAATTACTATGTTTATCTATTTCTTAGCCAATGAGAATCTTTCAACCTGTAAGCAATGATGTAGCTTAGACCTTGGAAAAGGTATAACTGCTGTGATCTTTGTAACTGTAAGCGGGGCGGCCTACGAACTCCTATGAAAGTCTTGAAGCTGACTTCTGCTGATGAAACTGCAAACTATGTTCAGTAAAACTTTTCTTACATTTTTTAATAATTCTGTCTCTGGGTCTTCATTCTTCATATCTGGTTCTGGGTCTTTGACTGTATACCCCTTACATTTACGTTTACATTTATTCATTTAGCTGACGCTTTTATCCAAAGTGACTTACAATTGCTATATATGTCAGAGGTCGCACGCCTCTTGAGCAATTAGGGGTTAAGTGTCTTGCTCAGGGATACATTGGTGTCTCACAGTGGATTCGAATCCGGGTCTCTCCTTTCCTGTGCAATGCTAAGATTTTCTTTAGATTTTTTGGGTTTCTCCTTTGCTTGTTGCTTGAAGTCTGTGTTGTGTTGTGTTGCAGTCTATGGCTGTGGTGCTGTAGTGCATGATCTTCAGTTACTGAAGGCGTAACATGTTCGCAGTATTTTGTACTGTGACTGCGTAGCGTTCTCCTTTATTGGTTCCACCACTTTTTATTTATACTACGTTATTTAATCAAAATAATCGTGGTTGACAAATGAAACTTTTGAGGAAAAATACAATATGGAGAAGTTACATACAGCACAATTTTTAAGACCTAGACATCAAAATTCAATAAATTTGGTAATTCAATAATTATGGTATTTTTCCAAATTAATAAATTCAATGCTTTTAAGGCTTTTTAAGACCCCGTGGGAACCCTACAGTATTATCAGTGTTTTCTGTTTTTATTTTTTATGGGGATTTTTTTTTTCATGAAGGTATATGCAAGCATCCTTAGTGATTAATCTGTGTAAAAACTGACTGAAGACATTTATGTTACAGTCCCAGAATATTATCACACAACTCGCATGACAAAGCAAATAAATATAAAACAAGTTGTTATACACATGTATACATTTCTTTGTTGTCCTCAACACAAGATAAGATATTTAGAAGAATGTTCATAACCAAAAAGTGCAAGGTCCCAATTGACTCCCAGTCTGTGGGGCTCAACAACTAGTTGGTTTTCATCATTATTCAAAATATCTTATTTTTTGTTTAGCGCAGAAAATTTTTTGTTCAGCAACTTGAGGGTGAGTAAATTATGATAGAATTTTAATATTTGGGTGAACTATCCCTTTATGAATTTTAACACATATACAAGGTGCTGAATATTTTTCAAAAGGCACAATGTACAACATTTTAAAAGCCAGGTCACTGGCAAAATAAAATATGACAATAATAATTATTTAATAATAATTAAAAATTATTTATTTATTAATTAATAATTATTATTATTATGAATTCTAGCATGGTGAATTGTTAATGTTAAACAAAAATGTGAACAGTGTAATTTAAAAGTTGTGTTTGTTTGTGTCCCCACCTGTTGAGAAGAAAAGATGCGAGTTCCACATCACTGCTCATTCCCTTTTGATCCTTTAGAAATTTCCACCGTCCAATTTCTGCACCGATATTTACTGTGGTCTTTTGTCCTTTGTTACTAAATCACACAAAACAACAAATCACATGGGAACTAAAAGATTCACAGATACCTCTATTCAACACTGATCATTTCAGAAAAAGGTTTTAATGTAAATAAAGTTTCATGATACTCACTGAAATACTTTCTAACGCAGTAAATATGCGACCAACAAGAAACACAAGACATACCTTTTGGTAGATGTTGTTTTCTCACTGAAGCTTGGCGGTCTACCATCTTTTGAATGGTCACTCTTCATAGACACCAAGCTGGACTCAGGTGAGCCTGATCTTTCCCTAATACACAAAGAGCAAACAGAATCCATTTATTGCAGGAGGTCCCACTGTAACTGATATCTACTGATAGTTGATAGTTGCGTTTTTGGGGTTTTATAACAAAAAAAAAAATCCACAACATTGATAATAAACTTCAGAGTCATTTTCAGTATATGAATCAGAATCAGAATGAACTTTTATTTATTTGTTGTGGCATTACAGGAGCTCTAGGTATACATATATAAATATAAATATAAACATATAAATAAACATACATATTAAATGAAAACAGAAGAACATTTAAATAAGACCAAGAGAAGAAATAAACATTAATGTACTGTATATACACTCACCGGCCACTTTACTGTATTAGGTACACCTGTCCAACTGCTCGTTAACACTTAATTTCTAAGCAGCCAATCACATGGCGGCAACTCAGTGCATTTAGGCATGTAGACATGGTCAAGACAATCTCCTGCAGTTCAAACCGAGCATCAGTATGGGGAAGAAAGGTGATTTGAGTGACTTTGAACGTGGCATGATTGTTGGTGCCAGAAGGGCTGGTCTGAGTATTTCAGAAACTGCTAATCTACTGGGATTTTCACGCACAACCATCTCTAGGGTTTACAGAGAATGGTCCGAAAAAGAAAAAACATCCAGTGAGCGGCAGTTCTGTGGGCGGAAATGCCTTGTTGATGCCAGAGGTCAGAGGAGAATGGCCAGACTGGTTCGAGCTGATAGAAGGGCAACAGTGACTCAAATAACCACCCGTTACAACCAAGGTGGGCAGAAGAGCATCTCTGAACGCACAGTACGTCGAACTTTGAGGCAGATGGGCTACAGCAGCAGAAGACCACACCGGGTGCCACTCCTTTCAGCTAAGAACAGGAAACTGAGGCTACAATTTGCACAAGCTCATCGAAATTGGACAGTAGAAGATTGGAAAAACGTTGCCTGGTCTGATGAGTCTCGATTTCTGCTGCGACATTCGGATGGTAGGGTCAGAATTTGGCGTCTACAACATGAAAGCATGGATCCATCCTGCCTTGTATCAACGGTTCAGGCTGGTGGTGGTGGTGTCATGGTGTGGGGAATATTTTCTTGGCACTCTTTGGGCCCCTTGGTACCAATTGAGCATCGTTGCAACCAGGGCCTGAAGTTAATTTTTTCGGCCACCGGCCACTGTGGCAGGTGGATTTAAAAATTCACCTGCCACAGAGACTTTTTACCAGCCATTTTTTTTTGCCTCATGAACGTAAAAAAAAAAAAAAAAAAAAAAAAACGGGAATTTCACAATATTGTTCTTTAACTTGTAAGAATACACATTTAAGTGCTGTCATGTAATAATAACTCTAATAACATACATTTAAAAAAAAAAATATTTTTATTCATTGATTTTGACACACACACACACACACACACACAACATATATAGTATAGTCTATAATATAGTATACTCAACAGATAGACCTACCGCAGCTCGTAAACAAATCACACGCGGCTGTGTTGATGGCGGATTTAGTCACGTTGACAAGTCTTAGCTGCTACTCTTAACAGCTTTTAGTTACAGCGTTCAGGAACGGTTAAATATGAACTAAATTAATACTGTTATTACTGATAAAATTACCGGGTACCGGACATTTTCTCACCGGTTCCCAACTCCCAACATGCACAGTTGCACACGCACACACATCTGTGCAACTGTCATTGTACTTTAACCTGCAACAGCGACGCGTTACATTATCTCATCTCATCCCATCTCATCAACAGTTTAATACTCGCACACGTAGTCAGAAAAAGAGCCTCATCTTCTTTCTGATCGCATGAACGTTCCGAAACAACAGTCGCTGTCATAAATCAGCCGCTCACGAACCTTGCCATTGCCGCCGATTGTTCACTTTGTATTAAAATGTCTTCTTTACTTTTCTTTTTCTCATCCTCATCTTTTTGTTGGCTGTTTGTTTTGTTTCAGCTGGCCTCTTTACCCCAGTAATGTGCCGCCACATTTTAGCTAAAGTCCAACGCAATAGCGGACTTCCTTGAAATGTAAAAATCCTAATGAATCACTCACAATTCTCATTGGCTACCTGCCAAAGTGGCAGGTAGATTGACAGTGTTACCCGCCAATAGCAAAATTCACCCGCATTTGGCAGGTGGTCGGGTGTTGATTTCAGGCCCTGGTTGCAACGCCACAGCCTACCTGAGTATTGTTGCTGACCATGTCCATCCCTTTATGACCACAATGTACCCAACTTCTGATGGCTACTTTCAGCAGGATAATGCGCCATGTCATAAAGCTGGAATCATCTCAGACTGGTTTCTTGAACATGACAATGAGTTCGCTGTACTCAAATGGCCTCCACAGTCACCAGATCTCAATCCAATAGAGCATCTTTGGGATGTGGTGGAACGGGAGATTCGCATCATGGATGTGCAGCCGACAAATCTGCGGCAACTGTGTGATGCCATCATGTCAATATGGACCAAACTCCCTGAGGAATGCTTCCAGCACCTTGTTGAATCTATGCCACGAAGAATTGAGGCAGTTCTGAAGGCAAAAGGGGGTCCAACCCGTTACTAGCATGGGGTACCTAATAAAGTGGCCGGTGAGTGTATATACGTCTGGAACAGAACAGAAGATTTATGTACAGAATTGTGCATTTTGTACTACCAACATGAGCCACTGAACCACTGCCGCCAATAACTCTGTAGACACAACATTTCCCCTTTTCTTTTAAGTATTTTGCTTAGGGTACTGTCTTGGAACATTACAACATAATACCATACTCTATCCCAAACACTGTAAGTAGTACAAAATTGATATACTGTAGGCTACTTGCCTCACAGACATGAGAAAGCTTGAAATGTCTATTTTTAAACAAAATAAAAAAAGAAATGATAAAATTGTACAGTACCCTGGTAAGGTCAGGTTTGCCGATGTTCATTTTATTTAGGCTATTTATTTATTTTTGTCCCTGTGCGATGATTGGAGACGGAGTTCACTGCTGAGGATACAACATAGCCAATAGGCTATAATAGGTACTTTAGCCTTTAAATATCTTCGCTGCATTTGATCCTTCTCCTTTCTAGCACAGCCAAGACCTTTCTAGCCTCACGGCAGCAGAGCACTCTGATCAGGTGCACAGACCTCTCCCAATCATCTCCTGCACTCGGCCTCCAAAGCACCACTAACTTCCAATGAAGTCATTGGAAAAAATCGTAGCAAATGAGCTCTCTCAGTCTGTACAGGATATACTGGATCCGTTGCAATTTGCATACAGGCAACAGCGCAGTACGGAGGATGCTGTCGGCACTCTTACGCATCTGGTCTCAAAACATCTGGACACTCCGAAAATAAAGCCATATGCCAGGGTACTGTTCATTGATTTCTCCTCTGCATTTAATACAATAAATCCGGACATATTGTTATCTAAAATGGCCCTAATGGGTACGAATCCATATCTCATTCATTGGTACTGTTCATTCCTCACTAACAGGCAACAACTGGTTAGGGTTAATAACACCTACTCACCCTTGGTCACAACCAGCTGCGGTGCCCCTCAAGGATGTGTTAGTTCTCCTTTGCTTTTCACACTCTATACCAACGACTGTGCTACCTTTGCACCCAACCATCATATCATCAAATTTTCTGATGATACTGCGCTCGTAGCTTTGATGAAGGAGGGGGAAGGGGCGGAACTTTATGTGCAAACAGTGAACAATCTTGTTAAGTGGTGTGATCAAAACGCCCTCATCCTCAATACACAGAAAACGGAGGAGATCATCTTCGGCACCCCTCATGAGTGCCACATTACACCATTAATTATTCACAATCAAATCATAAAACAGAAATCTTCATTCAAATATCTTGAAGTGTATGTGGACAGCAACCTTTCCTGGACCTATCATGTAGACTACATCTGCAGCAAGGTACAGCAGAGAATTTATTTTTTAAGGAGACTTAGGTCATTCGGAGCGAGTAGCGAAATCCTGTCTCTTTTCTTTGTGTCAACTATTCGAAGCATTCTGCAGTATGGTGGAGCAGTGTGGTTTGGGGGCCTCTCAGCTCAATTGAAGGCGAGGATTTTTCGGCTCCTGGGAATTTGTTCAAAATTGGTGGGACAGTCGGTTGAGAAGGCGTTTATTGAAAGTCATGAAATACATACTGTACGCTTGGCTCATAAAATCTCCCAAGATTACTCTCATGTGCTGAATAAGGAGTATCAACTCCTGCCCTCTGGGAGGCGCTATAGGGTCCCAGAGTGCAGGAAGAACAAATACAAACACTCATTTGTTCCTCTGTCAATATCGATGCTGAATCAACACATGAGGGGAAAGAAGCGATAGTTTTCCCCCCACTTGTAGCTGAAGAACACTCTTGCAGGGCGGAGTGCCCATAATATTATTTAAGTACTTTTGTATACTTTTTATTGATGACTGTATGTTTTGTTTTTAGTTTGTGTGTGTTATAATTGTTGGAGTTTGGGTTGCAAGACAAATTTCCGTGTACACGGACAATAAAGTACTATCTTATCTTATCTTATCTAACTTCCCGTCCGTTTCCCTAAAGCCCGTCGGTTTCCCTCATAAGCTGATATTAGAGTATTTAAACATTCTCTATGATATATATATTTTTAAATGACACACTGTCTCTGTCTCTTTCTCTCTCTCACATATGCAGGCTAGCAGTGGCGCCTCCAGAAATTTTTCGTAGGGGTGGCCAGATGGGGCCAGTTAAAATCTTGGGGTGGCACACCAAAACTACAGTATAAACCATAATTTCAGAATTGTTTTTTACTGTTGTAATAAACCAGCCTGTAGAAAACTATCAGAAAGACTTAAGGAAACTCCTACTGATATACTTTGGTTTATTGTGTAATATTTAATGTTACTAATGATATTAGTAGGGCCCAACTAATATACATTACATTGTATATAATGATATTATATGATATATAAGGGTCCTTGCCCCACAGCAAATTTCCAGATACTTACATAATTGTGATGAATTTAATCATTTTTAAGTTATTAGTTTGCAGTGTAAGATTACAGTTAACACCTTTAAATATTACATAAATGTATTATGAATTTTTAATACACTTAATGAGTGTATACATCAGCAGCAAAAAGTAATTCTTGAAAAAATCTGCACAGTAATTTTATAAAATCTAAATATGTTAATAAAAACAAATTACTATTAGTTCTCTTTTAAAATTCAATCAGGCAATCATGTCACAATTTTATATTTATATATTAATGTCAAGAATTCAGAAGTGCATATATAGCCTAAACTACAAATAAATTATATACAATTAAATTATGCTTATTTAAAATGTATTGAGCAGGCTAGGTATAACAAAATATATTGGCTTTTAATAATATTTCAGTGCGCAAACCCATGATAACATGAAAAACAGAGAGCACACAGCGTGTATGCGCATCGCGGGTGCAGAATGATGTGCTCAAAGCAACATGGAGTCACAATGTGCAGCAGTACTGCGCTTCATAAGTGCGCAGTTAAAAGCTCATGTCACAAATCGAAGAAATGTTGAGCGCACAAATCCAAGTGCGATTTGTTCCTTTGTTTCACAGTTATTGTGCGTTTGATGCCGATTCATAATCCTTGTGAAATGTATGTGTGATCTAACAGAACACGGTAGTGAGTCGTTTAAAAACAGCAACAAACTCCAAGAAAATAAAGTAATTTTATGCGAATATACAGACTTTTATCTACAGATCATGCATTTATAATGTCAATATATCATATTGGAGAGAGTTTTACCGTGCATCCAAGAGGCGCGCGTGCTGTTTGAATATGAATGGAGAATGATGACAGCCGCAGAGGAGGGAAAACGAGTTTATACTTTAATGATGTAAATATACTTCTGTCCCTCACATTAAGCTATGGAATGACTTCAGATGACTTTGTTACCCAAACTGACGTGAAAAAAGCGGGAGGCGCCGAAAAGCGGGCTGTTTGCATCCCTGCCTGTCCAAACGTGGCAAAAACACACCTAAAGCTGCTGTAACAGTGTACCATTTGGCACTTAAAAAGCACGTCACGACACATACTTCCCCGTCTTCTTTTACTTAAGAATATTTTTGACTTATTTATAAAATGCATAACTGATGCTACAAAAATTAATACTGGCCATTGGGGTGGCCAATGGGGTGGCCAGGAGTCGGCCAGGGGTGGCCATGGCCACCCCTGGCCACCCCCTGGTGGCGCCATTGCAGGCTAGTTATAAACTCTTTAGGCTTTTAATGGTTATTGCTTTATTTTTAAAGTTTGAGGGGAAGAATCGTGTAAAAGAAAAAAAAAATCCCTTATTTTGGGGATGGATTCCGGGAAATCTCACTTATTTTCAATGTTCAATGTTGACAGCTATGGTCTTGTGATGTGGTAGCAGATGAAATAATAGCCCATCAGCGTATCTCTAATAAGAATGGAATGTTATTAAGTGCCATGGAACATTGCGCTCCTCAAAGGTTAGATTTGCTCCATCTTTTGATGATACGTTTTGTTTAGAAAACCTTAAATCCATGTAAGACACAATGTCATTAGACAATCCATTTCATTAGAATCAATGAATCCATATTATTAGACACAACGTGCATACATGTGCAGGCCAATTTTATTTTATTTTTTTTGCAGTGATTTCGGTGACGAGCTCGGATCCGCGGTAGGCGTCACGTGACCGCGGTATCCCAGCCCTACCCAAGGAGATGCACCCACCCGTTCAATTATGTCATGATGATGCTCCAACAGGTTTTTCAGTTCTTTAATGCAGTCTCCATTTGCACTGTAATTGAGACAGCTTTATTCAGCGTGAGGTCGGGTTCAAGCAAAAGTCTGTCCCGAACGCGTGAATTAGCTGCTCGCTCCACGAACTGGTCGCGTATTTGTTCTTCCATTTCACCAAAATCACATGCAACTGAAAGCTCCCGTAAAGTAGCCAGGAACTGATTAATAGTTTCATCAGTCTGCTGTGTCCTTTGCCTAAATGTGTGTCTCTCGGTGACAGCATTAACTGCAGGAACGAAATATCTTTTAAAATATCACTGTTTGTTCCCTTTTGAACCTTTAGATTTTCCTCCCGTGCAACTACACCAATATTTACTGTGGTCCTTTGTTCTTTGTAACTAAATCACACAAAACAACAAATCACATGGAAACTAAAAGATTCACAGATGTCTTTATAATTTGGTCAAACAATTATCAAACCAGCAGATTACCTCTATCCAACACTGGTCATTTCAGAAAAAGGTTTTAATGTAAATAAAGTTTCATGATACTCACTAAAATACTTTCTAACACAGTAAATATGCGACCAACAAGAAACACAAGACATACCTTTTGGTAGATGTTGTTTTCTCACTGAAGCTTGGCGGTCTACCATCTTTTGAATGGTCACTCTTCATAGACACCAAGCTGGACTCAGGTGAGCCTGATCTTTCCCTAATACACAAAGAGCAAACAGAATCCATTTATTGCAGGAGGTCCCACTGTAACTGATATCTACATCTGCTATTCAGTTCTGTTAGCTTTAGGGGTGCTCCGATCAGGATTTTTGGGGCCGATCACCGATCACTGATTACTGAAAGCTGTATCACCCGATACCGATCACGGGGTCTATTTGAAGACTTCTATTTATCATGTTGCATTACTTATTAAACTATATTTAACAACAATGTACATTAAGTATTACATTTAAGAGAATAAAATGTATCATGGATTTACACCTGTGAATATATTTGCAAGAAACATGTCAAGCATATTAACTTAGCAGCTTGGTTATTGGGAGCAGCTTAGGACTTGACTTATACAGTAACATTCCTGTAGAATATAAAATAAAATAAATAAAAGATAGGACATCTGAGTCTTTAAATTTAGCTGTTTTGAGTCAGTCAGCCATCAGTTTTCTAATACACTTAAAGGACCACAGGTAGTAAAGTGCACAGCAACAAAAAAATACAAATAACTAATAACAACTTCCAGATAGGCAATCTATAACTTTGCTTTTTTCTGGGATGCTTAGTCAGATTTTGTGGGCATTTAGAGAGGAAGAGAGAGGTAGATAAAGAGAGAGTGGGGATAGAGATTATTAGATTATTTTCTCTCAATTTCTTCTTTTTTTTTTCAAGAATCTTGCAAAATTATTTTAAACAGATTAAGAAAGCCACCACTACTGGTCACATCTCTATGGTGTAAATATAGTCGATTTAGTTTTTAATTGTTTTGCTTGAAATGTGTACTTTTAAACAAAACAATTAAAAACTAAAAGAAATTGTCTACTCTCCGCTTATGTGGCTAATTCATAAGCATAAGTATATAATATAAAATATAATATTTTATATACACCAGGTTACCGTAAGTTAGCTAACATTAGTGAAGTGTTGGTCACGTAAGCTATCGCTGCAAATAACCTATTTTCTTCCAATAAACATTAACTAAAACTGGCTAAATAAAATATAACTAGGGGGTGGTGATGGCGCAGTGGATAAGACACAATAAGATGCATGCTTTTGGTGTGAGAGACCCGGGTTCAAATCGACTGCGAGACACCAATGTGTCCCTGAGCAAGACACTTAACCCCTAGTTGCTCCAGAGGTGTGCGACCTCTGACATAGCAGTTGTAAGTCATTAGCTAAATGAATAAATGTGTAAATGTATAACTACTGACTAGATTCAAGAGAGATCAGCTAATGTGTGTAAAAGTTTTTTTTTTTTTAAATACAGTAATTTCATTCATTTACCAGCGAGCGTACTTCGGAAGCACTGAAAATGAATGGGGTTCAATGCTGGAACTATCAGTGTTTGGAACTAATGGCTGCTCCACGACACGCGTTACTTCCGCATTCCAAAGTTCCTATGGCGGTCATATTGGAGTGTCGCAACTCTTTCTCTCTATGGCTCTGGCCTATGTTATTTAGCTATGCGTGTAATGTGCGAATCGGTGGGCGGGGCTAAACCGGCCATGTTGAAGTAGGCTTTGATCTTCTTCTGCGGGCGTGGTGTTTTTATCCTCTTTAACGTCATAGTTCCCCACTTTGAAAAACGAGTCGTTTTCAGAGGCTGGTGTCAACAAAAGCTTTTATTGGACTAACAAGGACGTTTTCAGTTCTGAAACTTACAGGATATTCTTATAATATGATGTCCTCTTAGATGTCAAAAGCTTTAGGAAAATATGATTTCTCAGTTCATCACCCCTTTAATTGAGCAGGAGCAGCGCAGCAAAAATAGACAGAAACCGCTTCACTGCTGTTCAGGCGACGTTCCTGCTTGACGCTCACGCGATGCTCCCGCTGCTCCTAGTGTGAATGCACTCATTGATTAACATGTAAGCCGAAAAAAATGTGCGCCGCTCATAGGGTTGGATATCGGTTGGGTTTTATCTGATACCAGTACCTACTCTGTATTTTTTTAAACGGCTCCGGAGCTTAAACAGTTCTTAAAACGATACTTAACCCTCTGGGGTCCAAGGTGTTTTTGGGGTCCTTGAGATGTTCTGACATGCCTGGGATTTGTGCTATTTTCAGTTGCTTATAAACATATTAATGGCACAGGTGAAATTACACTATATTTAGCACAAACAGGGCTACCATATTATGCAGAGGTGGGTAGCAACAAAGTACATTTACTTCGTTACATTTACTTGAGTATTTTTTGGGAAAAAAATTACTTTTAAGAGTAGATTTAATTGTGGGTACTTTTACTTTAACTCGAGTACATTTCTAATGAAAAAAAATGTAATTTTACGTCGTTATGTTGGGCGACGTTCCTCTCGTTACTTTATTTTAATCAATATGTTGTTGAAAGCGTAGTTTATTCTAAGTGCGCGCTCTCTCTTTTTTCTGGGCATGAGCTATGCTCAATTCACAAATGAATCACTCTTTTGAGTCGATTCTGTTCAAAGACTTCAAACAAGCTGGGCAGATCTGTCTAAATCGGTTCGCGAATCAGTTCGAATGATCTGTTCAGTTTCCTGCACGCGCTGAATCGTCTCCGAGTCGTAACAGGAAGATTTAAGAACATCAAGAGCATTGTTTGAAGTATCTGTGGACCTACAGTACAGTCTAGAAAGTAAATCTGCAAATGCATCATATTTTTTGCCCGCGATGAATATCTTTATTATTTGAACATTGTCGTATGTTACTTCGTAAGCTGTCAGTGAATGAATTATTCCACACGAGTCGACGATACATTCGATTTCATTTCATCAGGTAATACATTTTACAACCAAACAGATTATTACGCCATGCAGCACTACTACACAGTATGACAAATCCTGGTCAAATAGTTTATAATGGGCCATTGTATAGAATTGGTTCAAAGTTAGAGTTGGAAACATCTTGAAAAGAAAATTATTTTTCCATATAAAGTATTATTTTTTAAAGATACGTTGTAACAACTTTTTTATAACAAGGGGAGTGGTCTATTATTTCCTTTTACTCAAAAGTACTACACAAAAACAGCATGATTACAAAAACAGCACAGTCACCAAAGAATAGCGTGTTGAAATTATAAGGGCAATTTATACATTTGTCAGGGCCAGGCACCTGCAAACATAAAAAATCTGTTGAGTCTTTGTTTAAAACTCAAACAAAGCAAAAAAGCAAAATATAAATAACAAAGATACTTTGTTACAGTCAAAGATACAGTCCTTTTCTGCTTTGGGGTAGGTAGGCAATTCAAAGTCTGGATGGACAACAATGTCCCCGAAAAAGAATAAATCCACTGGTCCGAAGTCCCACAAGAAAAAGGTTATCCTCCAGTTGGAATAAGTCCCCAAAAGTATAGCCCACCATGTATATCCCAGAGAATGCACATATGAGACAGCTCCAAGGTCTAATAGACCATGTCTCTTTTCCCACATGTCATTTTGAACAATTTTCTTTTTTTGAGCTAGGTTAGCCAAAAAACCATGCCACCTCACCAAACAACCAACTTTCAAAATGGCCACCCTTCCCCTTTTTTACCCTAGGCTCAACATAATAGTCATAAGATTCCAACAAAACTTCCCCCCCAACCAAAACAAGCATAAACAACTGCTCAAAATCAAACATACAGGAAGATTAAAAAAAAAAATAATAATAATTAACTTTCCGGCATAGCACCTATACAGACGGTATACAACACACACATCTATATATATTAGGGCTGTACGTTTTCAAGTTTTTCATTAACCGTTAACAGAGGCCCTTAGTGGTTAATACTCGGTTAACCATAGTGTGCGCGCCGCAAGCTCGAGATACAGAGTTAATTTTTAACACCTTTAATAACTGGTTGGACCCCATTTGAAATGAAATTAATGTATAGAAATAAAATGTATTCACCCTTCAAACTGAAATTGCCAATTGAAAACACGCACATTGGAAACACGTCCATTTCGCAAAAACTCCGCAATCCGAAAAAAGTATATTTCACAAAACTGCAATGCGACATTTTGTGTGTTTTGGGGCCGTGTCCGCAAATAATAATAATAATAATCATCATCATCATCGTTAAAGTAACATTTTATTAGGCTGCATATGTAGAAGACGCCTTTATCCAAAAAAGGAACAAAGCACAAATAAACACAATATTTTGACGCATATCCAGTGTGTGTGCGGAGTGTGGAGCGCGCACTGATGGTTGCGAGACGGCCATGTGAACACTTGCAGTTTCCTTTCAGTGGAAACAACTTAAAATAGGCCTACTCTTTCATTTCTGGTCATACAGAAAATAATAATACATTATTCGCAAATACATTTATTTGCGTAAACTCACAATAACAAGAAAACGTGCTTTTGTAAAATAAATTAAACAATCAGGCGTGCTTCATGATCTCCGTGAACTGGAGCGCTAGAACTGAAACAGCCACCGCATTCGAATTTGTTCGTTTTAAATTGAACATTTAAAGCTTTAGTAGACTAAAGCTTTAACCACTTAACTGTCACTATATTTTTAAAACAATAATATCTTAGTAAATACCTTAAATAATATTGACAAACTATATATCATTTGAAAGCTTACAATCTCTAGTTTCTATATTTGGTGACTGATTTTCAAAATATATTACAGAGGAGCCATAATTTATCAATATAAAACAAGAATATTTTAATACTCATAAGGCGTGTTCAGACCTTTATTTTAAAATAGCAGTAAACATGAAAAATCATGAAAAAATGGTAGAAACCTCAGTTTATTTTCATGGCAAAAGTTCAAAAGATAGAATCCATTCAATTATTTTGGAAAAAAAAAGGTCTGAAAAGTTTGAAATATCAAGAAAAAAATAATAAATTCACCATTTGTGACGTGGCAGCTAGCTATGACTTACATGCGTGTTCTTTGTATGTGTTTCTTAGAGGTTCAATTCATATCAAAATCTGCCAAACTTCCCATACTACTTCTGAATAGGATCTCTACTTCAGAAATTGTATGAAAATTGTGAAAATAATGGTTCATATCACTCCAAA